AACAAAACAAAATAAAATAAAACACAATAAAACAAAACAAAATAAAATAAAACAATAAAACAAAACAAAACAAAATAAAATAAAAAAATAAAATAAAACAAAATAAAATAATAAAATAATAACATAAAATAAAAGGAGAAACTTTACTTAAAAGCAGGGAATATTTTCCGTTTTAAGTGAGAAAATAATTGAATAATAACTAAATAATTCAAACATAGAATGCCCATTCCCTGACAAAGAAGAGGCTGTGAAAAGCCTGTCATTGCACATTACCTTGATGTCCAAGTGAAGGATGTTGTTGTCGTGAAGATATTTGAGTCCTTCCAAAATTTGCTTGATATACAATTTGACCTAAGAATCAAATTAATTATTAAATAGTTATTAAACAGTAATAGTACATAGGAGAGTCCCTGATTCCATCAATATTTGTACAACATGATAGAGGGAGAAATTGAACCAGAAATTCTTTTAAAACTAGAATTATCTTCTTTTATTAGTCTTGCAGTTGGAATTAGATGTGAATCAAATATCACCCTGTGGAATGAAGCTGTGCCTCGTGTGTGACTCCTTTGCCCTGCTGGAACCTTCTGTATGCAAAAAAGTCCCTACTTTTTAAAAAAAACGAAACCAAAACAAAACAATCCTACAAAGTTGCAAATTAAAAGAAATAAAAGAGACAAAAATCCTCAAGTTTGACAAACCTTATCCACTGTCATAACACAAACTCAGCTCTGGCTTGGTTTAAACCAGGCAAACACATTTAAAACACAAATACATCTTAAAAGTATGTTGTAAACCTATTTGTGGACCATATGCAGATCCAATCAGACTATGACTGTGAACATTTATATCTAGATTTACATCCAGATTCAGCTCTGGAAGTCCTTTACCTTTGACATTTTATAGTGTCAGTTGATGTGTGATCCTTAAAGATCCCACCCAGCCCAAACCATTCTATGGTTCTACGATGTTTCCCTCTGAGTATTCTGAGAAAAATCAATTTTCCCCATAAATGTGGGACACCTGGCTACCAGATGGGAGATTCAAAACATTTTGAACTTTGAGGACCAAGGATCTAAAAAAAGAGGAACCTTTTAGAAACCGTAATTTCATCCCTTTATTTTGGGGACTGAAAGGGAGTGGATACAATTCAGTTACAAGGGGATAAAGTGCTATTAAGCAAGTGAAGATACAGGAGCTTCAGGTGACAGATAGCAAAGAAATTATAATACTGGAGCAAATATAATAATATTTTTTAGGCTGAATGCAATCCTGGTGGTCAAAACCACTGCCTCTTTCTAGTTACTGCCCAGAGAAACTCAACAAAGCAAGTTGATGGGAACACATTTGAAGGGCTGATTGTGTTTTGACAGGTTGCCACTGGTTTCAAAGACATTCCTCATAAGGAAAGACATTCCTCCATGAGGAAAATGCAGGTGGAACCAACTTTGGGCTCTCAAGTGAGGAAAGAGGAATTACCTCAGCTTCGGTGACCACACTCTTCTTGAACAAACGGTCCAGGAGCTCTTCACTGGAGCATCTGACAAGGGCATTAAGGGAGAGCAGAACTACAGGTAAAAGCTCATTTTTGCAGCAGAATTCACCAGCTGATCTCAGGCAATGTGATGATCATTAAAATCTCTGTTGCTGCGCCCTTCTGGCAGAGTTGGGCTTTCCAAACCTGTGCTCCTACAAGCAGGAGCTAAAACCTGCAGGTTGGTAGATTTTGGTATTGCTTGTGCTAAAATCTGCCTGTTGGCTATGGGTTTTCTGCTCTGCCCTGCCTTTTCCTGGTGCTCACCCAGACTGGATCTCATGGAAAAAAAAGAGTCCTTAACTTCCAGACACTTCAGAACAGAGTTTTGATGCTTAATAACCCATTCACACTTGGATATACAAGTATGATTTCACTCAACAGTACTGCAGTGAAGCTCCCACAAAGCTGTGCCACCCTGCAGTGCAGAGAAGGGCTGTGCATGTCCTTTTGCCTCAGGCAAAACCAAAAAATGGTTAATTCATAAGTTATTTAATAAACAGGCTCTACCCAGTACTTCCCCAGCCTCCTCAGACAAGCTGCACAGAAAAAGGATACAACTCCAGAACCAAAATCAGTGTTTTCCTTGTCTCAAACTCATCCAGGAGCCGGGTAATCCTGTCGTGGGACAGAGAGGCGAGAATGTCCCTCTCTTGGTGGGCTCGAGACTTGGTTTTGCTTCGCAGAGGGATGAACTTGGCAGCACAGGACACTCTGTTCCCTTTGTGCACAACCCGCTTCACGAAGCTGAAGCAGCCCCTGTGCAGGAATGGAAGGACACAAGCCCTGCTCAGACATGGTTTAAAGAGCAGCAGGCAGAGAGTTTTCCCCATCCCGGCCTTTGACAGCTCCCCACTGCCCAGTGCTTAAATTCTCCGCCATGAAAAGCTCGTTTTCCTGTCTGTGAGGTGCTGTTGCCCTCTCCTGGCTGCCTCCAAAGCCTAGCAAGGTGTCCACATAAGGAGAAAAACTGTCTCAGGTGATGCAGGTGCTGACAAAGGCTGATGCCTGCATTTATGGGCTGTATGGACTCTCCCATCCTCTGTCAGAAACCACAGGAAAGCATTCCCAGCACACCTGCAACAGGGTGACCTCCCACTTTTCCACTTTTCCACAGCTGGGCCCCCTCTGCCTCAGCAGCTCAGAAGGGCAATTAGATATTCCCTGGCAGTGATGCTCTGGAGTTGGAAAATTCATTTACCTTCCAATTTCCTGCTTCACCTCATAATGGGCGTGGAGCTTTCTCCTGGTGGCCACTTTCTTTCCTTCTTGGTCTTTCTTAGCTTTGGAAATGAAGGAAAATATAAAGGTTAATATTCAGACAGCAACGCCTTGCTAATAGTGTGCAGAGTTATCACAGGACAATCTAAGGCAGGAAAAATGACAGAGGTTCTCTAAACTTCTGCAGAGAATTAAGTGGAGCTGCTTGATAACAGAAGCTGTCAATGTGAACTCTGGGGTTGCCCAGAGAAGCTGTGGCTGCCCCATCCCCATCCTTGGAAGTGTCCAAGGCCAGGTTGGATGGGGCTTGGAGCCACCTGGGCTAGTGGAAGGTGTCCCTGCCCATGGCAGGGGGTTGGAATGAGGTGGTCTTTAAGGCCCCTTCCAACCCAAACCATTCCAGGATTCTGTGATTTGCTTTTATACTGGATCTTGCTGTATTTAGCAACGTATAAATGCACACAAGAATACAGAGCTGATACCACACAGGTACCAGAACACGACAACACCAGATTACACGTTGCCATGGCTATGGAAGCAACTCCTGCAGCTGAGGGAGTGGCATTACCTTCACGTACAACGAGCTCTGCTTTGCACAAAACCTCCCCTCCTGCATTTTTGGCCACACAGGTATAAACACCACCATCTTCCAAGGCAGCGTCGTCCACCGCTAAGAAATACATTGTCCCTTCCTTCCCCTGGTGGACTCTGTCACTGTCTGTCAGCAACGAAGTGCCCTGAAAGAAGGAAATGACATTTGAGCACTGGAAAAAACCAAGATGGAAACAGATGTTTTGGCTCTTCAAGGGACAAGCTACGGGAGCAGAGCTACAACACAGACTGCTGAGGTCAGCAAATCTCACCAGCAAAGTGCTGGCTGAAGAACCCTCCATGTCCCAGTGTTCCCATTTATAGGAATGCAGGCTTGGGAGGGATCACCAGTGCCATGTGGGTGATTGTTCAGCTCTCCCAGCACACCATTCCTGAGCAATCAGCCCAGGGAACACAAGGATCAGCTGCTTTGCTCCTGCCTGGTCTCCAGCTTGTGCTGGCACTTGTGGTGTTTGTAAGTCAGATGAGGAGCAGCTGAGGGAGCTGGGGGGGCTCAGCCTGGAGAAAAGGAGGCTCGGGGGGACCTTCTCACTCTCTACAACTCCCTGACAGGAGGGAGGAACCAGGTGGGGGTTGGGCTCTGCTCCCAGGGAATGAGGGACAGGACAAGAGGACGTGGCATCAAGCTGTTCCCGGGGGGAGGTTCAGGTTGGACATCAGGAGGAATTTCTCCACAGAAGGGATGATTAATCACTGGAACAGGCTGCCCAGGGAGGTGATGGAGTCCCCATCCCTGGAGGTGTCCAAGAAAGGACTGGATGTGGCACTCACTGCTCTGGTTTAGTTGATGTGGTGGTGTTTGGTCAAAGGTTGGAATTGATGGTCCTGGGGGTCTTTTCCAACCTTAAAGATTCTGTGATTCTATATATTCCTAAATCCTATGATGAAAGGGACAGGAGGGAGTGTGTGTGACACAGAGGGCAGATTGTGAGCATTTGAAAAAGGTCCCCATGGTAGTAAAATGCAACATAAATATCTATAATACAATATATACATATATGTATATAATACAATAGATGTGAAGTGAACCCTATTCCCCCACATAAAATGTCAGTCTCAGAGCTGTTCCTTTTTATACTGGAGCAAATTTTAACTTAGAGTAAATCACTCCACAGCAGCACCAGCTCAGTGCTTGGTGGGAGCCAAAAATTAGCAGATGTTAGAATTTTTAGGGAAGGAATAAAGAATAAGACACAAAGCATCATTTAATAAATCCATGGCTTGCCCATGGTTTGGTACTGTTGCAGCCATGTCCTCTGTAACCCCTTCCAGATGAGGATTGACAGAGCAAGTTGGGGCTTCTTTTAGCAATATGACAAGATATGGCAGCAATATTCTAAGGAATGATAAATTATTTCTCTTTCCTTCCTATGGGATATTCGTTGTCCTTGGTCACACTCACTTTAACAATTAGCTGCAGAAAAGATACAGAGCCTGGAAGTCATGTTGACAATTGGAATAACCACTCCTAATCCCATCCCCAGCCCCAAACAACAGCACATATGTCAGTGACTCTCAGGCAGGAACCAGTTTCCTTTCCTGCTCATCTTGGTCCCCAAAACCATCTGGGTTGCCCTGTCTGAAAAAGGATCCCCAGTGACACTGGAGACAACACAGGGTGAGACATAGGGATGGTGGCTCCAGGGAGAGCAGCTGGTTCTACAAACCCTACAGACACGATCCACAATCAGTGTAAGATGTGTGGGATGAAAGAGCAGAAGACATTCCCTGTGGAAGTCCAGCACTAGAGTCCTTTCTATGGTCCGCACTGTCAGCCAAAATCTGCACTCACCTTAAACCACAGCACAGTGGGTGGAGGGGTTCCTTCGATGACTGCCTGAAATTTGGCACGTTCCCCAGAGTTCACCTGCACATCCTCTATGGTCACTTGCATGTAGGGAGGACCTGGTGGGACACAAGGGTTTGCTCCATGCACAATGCCGTAACTTCATCCCCAGTGTGCTGATGTAGGTGCAGTTACTCAAATGGTGTTTATAGGATGGGTCATTTAAGGTATAACAGCTTAGTGTCAAATCAAGAAGTACCACAGCAATATATTTGGGTTTATTTATACTGGCATTACTTTTAGGCTTCTTATCTTCAGGGTTACCTATTATTTTTTGTTTAATCAACAGTTACCACTTAAATAAAAGGAATTGTTTAAAAAAAGCAGTCATGGGGAGTTGATACCAAAAGAGAAGACAGTGGCAATTGTGGAATGTGGGAGAGGGGAACAGGGTGTGTTCTTACTTGCTGGGGTCTTCTCCTCAGTCTTATACACACGAGTTCTTTCCGTGGTCTCAATGTAAACTTCACTGTGCACATCATAGACCACGTCTCCTTCTCTCCTGTACCAGCCTCCTGCCCCTGCCTCTGGTGAGGTTCTGCCATGAAGCCCAAGAGAAAAGATCAAGATATTGTCACATACAAGAGGTGCAGGATTTCCCCTGCCATGTTTAACCAGCAGACAAAGAGTTATTTACTTAAAATTAACACAAGAGGAGTTTTGGTTTGGGGGAATGAATTTCCCTCCAACCTCTTCTACCCTTCTTTGACAAAGCACGTGCCACCAGGATTCTAAAAATTATGGCAAACCTACAGGAATCTGTTCAAGTCACCACCAGGTTCCTCCACAGCAGAGAACTTGATTTTCTTGCAGCAGAGTCTGCCCCACTCAGAAATCCATATATATTATATCAATCTATGGAGATGGCATTTACCTGTCGATGGGAACGGTGCGTTCCCGAGTGCTTCCGTCTCCAGCAGCTGTGTCTTCCTGGGAAGGACCAGGGCTGGGCTTTGGCACACTTGGTTCTTCAGCTGAAACCTGCCTTTGTGCTTTGTCTGGCAGCAGAAACAGGGCAAGTTAAACACGTCACCTATGACAGCACATCTGAAACCCAGAGCAAGCCTTTGGAGCCTTCTCTGGTCTGCCTGGAGTTAGAACCGAGTCCAGCTGAGTCCAGCTGGGTGCAGTCACTGAAGCTCAGAGGAGATTTTGGCCCTTTTGCAAAGATCACATGAAGCAAAGGGGTTGAACATCAGAGAGACTGAATGGAGGCACGTTTCTGAATGGGAAATATTAATTTTTCTGTAAGGAAGCACACACAGACAGAGATGGGAAAGGCAGTCTGTAGGGACAGGGAGAAACAGGACAACTGGAAGGATACTGTGGGTTCCTCCATCCTTTATAGGGGATAATTTATCTATGTTCAAGTTCCAGCTCATGGCTGTGATGAAATCATAGAATCACAGAACTGTTTAGGTTGGAAAAGACCTTTTAGGTCATCGAGTCCAACCATTAACCCAGCACTGCCAAGGCCACCACTAAACAATGTCCCCAGGTGCCACATCTACACATCTTTCAAATATATCCAGGGAAACCCAACATTAGCTTTGTACATATGAATATTTCAATTAAACCTTGCTAGGAGAGCAGCTCTTGACTCACTGCTGTGATCATAGACAGCATCAGTGACACGATTAAACTCTGGGGCTTATAGGAACAAGGAAACAAAAATTTGGTGCAGCTTGATGGCAGTTCAGGTATTTTTCAACTTTTTTAGTTAATTATTTTATGAGATATATCTTTAAAACCTGATTTGATCTTCCATTCCAGAAGTACCTGACTGTCTTCTGATATTGGAATTAAACCCTAGAATAAAGTGCATCATCTCCTTTTCCATTTTAGGAGAAAAAGTTAAATTAAGAGGGGTCTTCCCCCCAGCAGGAAGGGCCTTTCTGGGGAGCATTTTATGGATGTTTGGTGCTGAATGGTTTTGGAAAAAAACAGCAGTTTCTAGAAATCACATAAAACAGCTTTATGGGGATGGAAAAAGTGGTAATTCAAGACATTGCTGACAGGTTAGTGGGATTGTGCTTTCTTATCACTATCGAAATATTTGCCTTCTTTTTCATCAAAGCCTGTGATCATAGGGACAGTTGCCAAGTCTCCATCTGATTAAAATAACTCTCCATAAAATATTTAATTTTGCTCAATGAAAGACCTGCAAAACCATCTCATTCACAATTGTATTTCCTCTGTACTAAGGAAATAATCTACTAGCTGACATTTTACTTCAGATTTTTGAGTCATCCTGCTTCACCAGGCTATTATTGCCAAGGATGATTTCCTACTAGAAAGGAAAAAAAAGGTTTTAAAGCCGTGTCATTTTTTTATGCTGTTATTTTGGGTCTGATTCCCTGACCAGCTTTTATCCTTGTTCAGTTTTAAACAAGAATATCTTATTTTTAAAACAGTATTTGGATTTGAGGCTGAGGGTTACTTGAGAGAACAGTTATTCTGACTTGACACAGAGACAGCTGAGACAAGTTGTTATGGCAGAAGCAGAAGGAAGAGTGGAAGGGTTGTCTCTCATTTGGGATTTTTTGAAAACAATGGAAAAACAAAGGACTCAATATCTTGGCAAGACACAGTCACACACATCACTGGGTTTAGTCACACAGGAGCTGCTAAGGAGTCTGTCAAGGCTCCAGGGTCAGTGAAATTCAGCAGAACTTGATGCACTGAACATCCTGTAAAACTTCTGACAGCGGATCCAGGGGTGTTAAACACATTTCCAGCTTGTTTATGGCAAAAATAAAAGCAACTGCCCTCACCCACCCCACCAAAACCAAACCCCAAATAACTTCTACAAATGTAAAGGAGGGATCTCATCCCACCTTCTCCCTGAAAAATACTTGAAGCAAGACAAGGGAGAAAAGCCCAAAGTTGGAAAATGTTCCCATTCCCCCCATTTTGGGCAGGTGATGAATCAAACTCTACTTCAGACATGGTTTTCAAACATCTCCTGTTCCCTGAAAGATCTGCCCCGTTCCTATATCCAACCTAACCCCAACCCACACCCCCATGTTTCTTGGGGTCTGAATGTCCTCTCTTAATCTTCGTCTGCTCAAAACACATTGAAACAGAAAAATGAGGTAAAAATATCTTTGCTGGCACATTCAGTGTTTCTCTCTCTCTTGACTCCCACGGGACATCTCCCAGATCCATGCCCAACCTACCATGGCCTCCAGGAGCCTGGGTTTGGGTGCTGGCTTCATGAACCAGCACAGGGGGCCCAGCTGCTGTTTCTGAGAGGTCTGGAGGAACAGACCCAGGAAGGCCAAGGCCACCTTCTCCTCTCACGCCCAGGGGAAGAGTCACCAGCATCGATGCCGAGTCCATGAGTCTCCTCAGGGCTGTCTTGATCTCCTTATCGGCGCGTTGGAGCGAGGCCTGGACAGAAGTCTCCATCCTTGGCTGTGGGGGAGTCATTCCTACAGGCAAGAACAACAGCTTTTCTCTCTTGAGGGCAAAAAGAAAATAGCAGCACCGCCCAACCCATGGGAATCTTTGCAATTGTATCGTTTCACTCTCCCAGAGCAGAAAGCTGATGTGGAAACGCTTATTCCAGCAAGAGGGAATGTGGCTGAGACTTGGAATAAGAAGGCTGGCACAATGTGCTTCGGAAAGAGGTGCCCCCCAGGTTGAGGACGCTGTGCCACGCTGTGTGCACATGTGGGGTCTCCCCAGACAGTGGAACAAAGGATTCATCTCCCAACTCAACCCTATGTTGGCTGGTCAAAAATACCTTTATTAATCATAGAATATCCTGAGCTGGAAGGGACCCACAAGGATCATGAAAGTCCAACTCCTGGCCCTGCACAGGACAATCCCAACAATCCCAACAATCCCACCCTGTCCCTGAGAGCATTGTCCAAACACTCCCTGAGCTCTGTCAGCCTTGGGGCCGTGACCAGTGCCCTGGGGAGCCTGTTCAGTGCCAACCACCCTCTGGGGGAGGAACTAATCACTGGTTAAGACCAATGACCTGGACCCATTGCACTGATACAGATCCTACCTGCCAGGAGGACACTGTCCTCGCAGGGAAGAAGGAGGGAAAAGGCACCAGTGTCATCAGTGGCTCTGGAGAAGGGCAGGGGAAAGAAGGGAAGGTTTTTCTGCTTCATGATAGGACAGCACAAAAGCTGTTCTTTGCTCCTGGGTGAGGTGTTTGTCCTACTTTACCATTTCTGGATATTTTTGCTGGGGTTTGCTGCAGAAGGTACCTGAGACCTTCAAGTTTGTTCTCAGCTATGCCTTTGCAAGATACCCCAGAAGTGAAGTCGTCTGGTTTGTACAGTCATGCCCAGCAGTGGTGCAGAGGAGAGCATCATACAGAGGGAAGAGGTAACTCCTGCCTCAAGAAACTCACTGTCTTGAAGGCAGAGAGAAGACAGAAGCTTTAAACACTAAAAAATGGACTTTCAAAGCATAAGTTTTTGCAGAATGGCCACCCAGGAGACAAATACCATGGTTTCACCCCCACCCAGTGATGGTAGAAGCAGCTACTCTAGGATGGGATCACAGGAGCTCAGGAGTTCATCTCATGAATTTACTGCCCAGTAAACCTTCCACAAATCTTGAAGAGGTACAACAAAGGGACAGATGATGTTTAGGGAAGCCCTCAAATAACCATCAAGGCAGGCAAAATGCACGTCAGACACAGAGAAATCATCATGTTCATGATGTGATTGCTCACCAAGCAAGAGAGGAAACTCAAACCATCGCGTGGTTCAAGAAAAAACAAGAGCACTTGGAACAAAGATCTCTGACCTGTTTAATGTCATTGACATGTGAGCACATCCTGTAGCTGTTTAGATTCTGCTCCTTTCCCACCCTTAAGGAAGTAGATTCTCATGATAGGCCTTAGCAGGTCAAGTTTGGATCAGCTCCCTTTCAAGACACGTTGCTTGTTTTTCGTTTTCAATGATCATAGGGGTTATGAAATAAGACTTATTTTCTTAATTTTTTTGATGGAAAAAGCAAGTTTTGCTCACTCAGTGCCCCAGACTGACCCTCAGTGTTGGTCAGCACTGGGATGGGTGGAAGATTTTAAGTATTTTCCTAGAGAAATATTTCAATTCCCTGGTGTTCCTGTTGTGCACCTGCCAACTGGTGCTGACCTGTGAGCTGGGCAGCTGCCAACAAGGGATCTCTTTGGAAAGGTATGAAACACTCAGGATCTCTCAGTGAGGAAATACATAGAGATACAGAGGTTATATATAATCTATATAATCTATATAATCCTCCATGCTGCTAAAACCACCACTTTCACAGCTGTTTAGGGATGTTACACCACCTTCTTCCTTCTTTAGGACACTGATTCAAGCTGCTGACCCGAGGAACTTCAATATCCACCAAGGTACATGGAACCAACACCACAGTGATGACACACCTGTGATGGACAAAAATTCCCAATTCTAGAATCCCAGCCTTGAACCTTTCCACCCCACATCTCCTTCAGCCCACAGCCAGGGAATTGTGTCAAGGCTGACACGCATTTTGGAGTTCCAGTTCAGTCTCAGAGAAGGACCCAAGAGGAGGAACATCATTCAAGATTATTGACTCATAGGCCTGAGTTGGAAATATCCCTAAGAACAGATCCTTCCACTTCAACAGTTCTGAAACTTTCTGTAAAAAAAGCAGCCAGAGCCCAACTGAATTATTGTTCTTGGGCCATGATCCAGCTCCTGCAGAAGTCAGGGGGGGAAGAGGATGAGCTGATGGAATATCAAAAGCCATAACAAAGAACACAGAAACCCAAGGAGTTCAGTGACAGCTGATGCAAGACATTTATTGATATAAACTCAGCATTTAACAGCGTATCTTGCATTGGATTTTTTTTTTTGGTGTGTGTTTTTTTTTCTTTTTGTACCTCAAGCAAACTGAAGTTTCCACTTTATTAATACCCTGCAGGAATTTCAGTAAAACATCCACTGTATTAAAATCTTTCATACAGCTGTATGTTTTCATCTACAAGAAATAAATCCCTACACGTCTCATTAGTTATCTACAGAGTTTAATCACTTACAAGCATAATTTTTAACCTCTAGGAAAATATTTTGAAGGTATATGTAATGAACTTTTCATAAACCTTTCACTTTTTGAACAGAGGATTTTAAAAATTCCTTTCAATTGATTCTCTGTTGCTTAAACTTCAAAAGAAAATGTAAACAGATGTTAATTGCTTTGAGCTAATGAATCAAAGTATAATTATTTCTTCTATGACCATCTGAACTGCAGCCTTAGAGTGTCTTTAGAAAAACCTGAGCATCAACCACAACAGGAGGAAACCTCCACATTCCTTTACACATCTTCATTAACTTTTGAATGAATATCATATTTTTAAAGCTTATCACAGGGCAAATTCTTTTCTCAGCAGTATCTTTGTAAATCTGAATGAAACCCACTTCCTTCTGTGGAATTTTTCTAGATTGATACTGGAATAACTGAGATCAGAATCAGGCCCAAGAGAAAAGAAATATTTCCAGTTTTGAAAGTATTTCCCCATTCTGTGTCTGTTACTTTCCAATGTACAGTGCAATATATGAAAAAAGCACTAATATATATATCCATTGTATCGCTGATTATAAAACAAACAGTATAAACCAAGGAGATGTTATAAAAAACGGGAGAGTACCATAAAGGAAGCTTGATTTCCTTCACCACACATAACCCCTGGAAAAGCATCCTATATCATGAAGGTAGTGCACGTTATATTCCACACAACATCCTGTCTGGATGCAGAGAGTGAAAGGCTGTGAAATCACTGCGTTCATTTTAGTCAGCACATGATCAAGGTGCAGCCACAGAAGGGAAAAAAAAAATACCGTGTTCTTTTCTGCAAGCACCTCTTGTGAATTCAGTCCCTGTCAGCAGGAATATTTCACCAAGACCCCAGAACAAGCTCCTCAATATTACCTGGCCGGGAAACACTGAGACAACACCACACACACATTCCCAAGGCAGAAACTCGCTCCATCCTCTCTCCTCGCGCCGCTCTGAAATCCGGCAGTGCCTGAGGATTTCTGGTTTCCCTACACCACCAAAGGGAAAACATTTCCTGTTGCAACACTTGTAGAGAGCTCAGCTGGGACAAAGTGTGGGGACTTTTCACCCCACCCCTCTGTCAGCCACAGGGCCAGCGCTTGGTCCTGCTGAGATCAATGACAAACTCCATCTGACTTCAACTGGCACCAAGGTTTGGGCCTGGGAGCTCGTTTCTTTTCCAGGGCTGAGCAGCTTGTTGAAGGTCTGTGCAACATCCCTTTTGGGGGAAGCCAACAGGAATGGGCTCAGTGCATCTCAGCCTTCCCCCCTCCACCTGCATTCCCACCGCAGAGCTCCAGAGGAACTCCACAGAAAATAATCCCTCTTCAAGACATCCCAGCGTTCCGGGTTACAGTAACACGATGCAACTGCAACTGGCAGCCCAATACATTTTGAACAGATCTATTTTTCAACCAAACATTTATGGTAAAGCTCTCTTTTCTCTTTTTCTTTTTTTTTTTTAAATATATTTTTCTGCTCCTGCTACTTTGCTGTAGCTCAGTGGTAAATTCCTCTCAGCACGTATAGGATGCATCCCCCATCCATCTGTTAGCAGGAATGTTTCACCACTGGCACGTGCAGGAGACCAAATACTAGTCCAGTAATATTTATTGGCAAAGACCACATTTGTGATTCATTTAAGATCACATTTGTGATTCTCTGCACGTTGTTAGTGCTTGATTGCAGATGCAGAAATCATTTTGTGCAGCACTTTAACCTTTAAGTGCGCATAAAGTAAATTATATTTTAAAAGATATGGTATTTAAATGCTATATAAATCCTCTTCACTAGAATGTAGAATAATGAAACCTACATTATTAGACAACTAGGAAGTGGATTTGAAAATATCAGTCATTTAAAAAAAATAGTCTTTTTCACTTAAAGCAGAACAACAAAACTCTTGTTTCCTCATGACAGTGGGATTTTCACCACTGACTTTAGTAAAGTTGGGATGTCAACCAAAAGGCCTGAGCAGCCCTTTGCATCCCTACTAAATGTAATATTTACTATATATATTTAATTCCGTGGCAGGAATTTAGACTAATGTAACCAAACTGTGCGTGTTGAAAGGTTTATGAAGAAACTTTGGTAGAGCTAAGTGGTGTCAAAAGTGTAGAGCAGAGTCAAAGCAATGTGAAGCTTCATGACCTTTGGGCCCACACAGTAACAGGAGACACTTTAGCTGGAAAAAATCCTCCTATCCTGGGCTGCTGAAAGATGCTGAAAAGCTTGTTTTTTCACCTTCTTGCCACACAATGAGTTGGTACATGAAAAAATTTTTAAGCTCATGGACAAAAATGCACTTTTCCACTCGTACTTCTGTCATAAGTAGAAGAATCAGGCTTTTCCTAAACCTACCATCACTGCTCCACTATGGAATGAT